AAGACAACAATGCCACAAGGATGCTTTATCCATATTATTGGAAGAATCCATACACAACACATCATTTCCTAGGTTATCTACAACCATAACAGTTTCATAAATTCCATTACAAGGCATTGCTTCAAAATATAAAACACCATTTAGATAAGCATAAATCGAACCATTCTCATTATTAAACAAATATCTAAATCCTTGTCTAAATAAACAATGAAAAGAAATGATGTTTCTTGCCATATTTGGCGAGTAGCAACAATTATTTAAATCTAAATTCAATCCATTACTAAGCACTAAAGAATACACTCCAATCTTGGTAACAGGCGACGATCTTTTGTTCCCCATGATTAGATTTATTCTTCCAAGCTCCACATCCCTATTTCTTCCTAGTCCCTGCAAATCAGAAAAAATGTGGTAACCACACCCTGTATCAAGAACCCAAGAAATAGCATGAGATGAATCATTAGATTTAATTGTGTATATACCTGCAAAATATGGCTTGATCTTTCCATCCTTGATGGCTTGCAGATATTCCGGGCTGCTTCTCTTCCAATGCCCTATTTTGTGGCAATGATGGCACTCTGCCTCCTTTGGGTTAGGGTTGGGCTTAGCAGGATCAACCTTGGTCCCACTAAAAGAGGAACCATCTTGGGACTTTCCCTTGCGGTGGTTCTTTGACAGAGCCTTCCTCTTCTTGCCCCTTCCCTGCCCAATAGCCAAAACAGGAGCAGCAGGTGGATTGGGAGTTGGTGCAACAGACTTGTCCTTGAGGTTGCTCTCAACAGTCCTTAGGATCCTTTGGAGTTTGCTTAGGGTGACCTCTTCCTTGTTCATGTGGTAGGTCATCCTAAATTGGTTGTAACATGAGGGAAAGGAGTGAAGAACAATGTTGATAGCCAAATATTCCCTAAAGTTGACATTCAACTTGCGAAGACGATCAACATACCTTTGAATCTTTTGCAAGTGCACGGTTAGAGACTCTCCACTTCCCATTTTAGCAGTGATCATATTCGTTATGATCTCATAACGCTCTTGCCTCCCGCTTTGGTGATATCTCTCCATCTAGTCTAGATGCATCTCATAAGGATACATGTCCTCATAGGACTTTTGGAATTCGGAGTTCATTGTGGCTATCATGATGCAATGGACCTTCGTTGCATCACGTTCATGGGTCTCAAATACAGCCATCTCTTTGGGGGTAGCAATTTCTGGGTTGACCTTCTCGAGCTTTTCATCGAGGACATACTCTTTGTCCTCGTAGCTTGCGATTGTGCGAATGTAACTTATCCATTCGCTAAAGTTCGATCCATCGAAAGTCACTTTTTGACAAAGACTCATTAACGTGAATGAGTTAGCATCAGCGTTGTTTGCGTTCGACATCTACAAATAGAAAGGATAAAGTTTGATTAGTATTGAATCCCTAATTAAACACCCAAAATGGAAAATTAGGGCTAGGACCCAACAACATTATTTACATATTAGAAAAGGGATTTCGTAGTCCAACATGCAAATAATTTGGAGGTAAGTGAATGACGATTCACTAATTCTTCGCCATGAAAAACATAACCTTAAGTTTTAAATGTATTGAGAATTCCTAGATTTTCTTGGAGATTCATTGAACTTTTCAATGGCATGTTTAAATCTCGATACGCCCTCTCGTTTGTGACTGGGATACCGAGGATCACAAAGTGGGTGTGAATAACCATGCAAATCTGCATGGTGCGTTCATTGTTACAATCACCTATTCGATATGCCAGTAAACCACACACGTTCCATCGAACTATGATAAACAATGAATCACCCTTTGCCACCTTTGCTTAGAACCAATTAGTGTGCTGGTAAACCACACACGCTCCACTAACTTCTCAGCAAGGGTGTAAAGTGTAATTTCATGGGATTGCATCAATTTACTTTTGCCTAAAGTAACTAAGATTGGGAATTTGAAAAAAAAACATGTAGTTACTTTATATTTTAACATTATACTTTTAATGAGAAGAGAGAGTTGCCCTATCCTAACCGTTCGGCTAACGACCCTCCACCAATCAAGCAAACGGTGGGTGTGAGTGTACACCCATTAACCGCCATTTGATAGGCAGCAACCTTATACCCACCTTATAGACTGGCTTCGTGAATGAGGCCTACTAACGGTAAGACTAGCATTTTAATTATACTTATATATATTCATTAAGCTTTAATAATATAATAGTATAGGGTTGAATTTTAAACTTGTAAAACTCTAGGGGTTGAAATTTAAATTCTTCTAAATTAAACTTTTAATCACAAAATTTAAATCTCAAAACTTCAGGATAAATTTGAACTTTTCAAAACTAGAGGGATCAAATAACAAATAGTTCAAATAACTAATTTCATAATTATCTATATTTGACCTAGTCCAGACACAGACTCGCCGAGTTGGGTTGGGCAAAGGCCAAGAAAAACGATTTTCAGCAAGCAAAGCAGTTAAGCATCATATTCAACTGAAACCAATCAAGGCTCTGATACCACTGATGGGTTTGAGCCATAAGAACTTTCCTATGTGCACATGCACACCCTAATGCTTGGATCTAGGTTTCTCTAATTGAACATGCTTTGTACCCAAGACTTTGAATCATAGATCTAGTGTAAACAAACATTTCATAACATATGAAATCAGATCTAGAAGAATACCTTGAGTTACTTGCTAGAAAACTTCTTTTCCTTGGAGCTTAGAGTCACAATTGTCACTCCTCTAATGGCTTACAAACAACTAGGGCCCAAAACATAATATAAAAAGATCCAACATTAGGTAGGCTTCCCAAGCCCACTATTGGCCCATTAATCGCCCAATTTGCTACATTGGGCCCAAACCCTTTATTGGGCCTTACCCTAAGCCCAACACATATACTTGGCCCATAATCACTGACTCCTGATGGCACACTAAGGCCCAAAGACCTATAGTCTAAAGCACAACCCACATCGAGGCCCAAATGCTCAAGGCCCAAACCTGGCAGCATTACGCGGGGCGTACTCCAATTTATGCTTAGCGTACATGCACAAAGGTGAGTACGATGGGCGTACCTACACGTACGCTCAACGTAATCCTCCTGATAAGTCTTTTTTCCATTAAGTGCTTATTCCTCCACTCCAGGGGCTACAAACTCAGATCCAGGTCCCTATTGATGTCTTAATCCATAAATTCGACTACTTTGTGACTTGCAACCCACCAAAAGGCCCAAACTTGAAATGTAACCAAATACTTTTATGAAAATGGCTAGATCTCATGCATGAACCCATTAAGACACACAAGATGGGACCTTTCTGCCTTAGGGACTCATTTAGAACAGAGAATGGCAACTCAAGGCCAAACATAACATGTTGAGACATAAAGGTCCAATCTTGGGACCTAAAAGGTCCAAAAACTCATCCTATAGGAGATCTAAGAGAATAATCTTCAATATCAAGACTTTATAACTTGAAAAGGTCTGGAAAGAAGGAAAAGTCCCAGATCTACAACTCCTTCTTTGATCCACCACCTTGCTTGCTTCTTCTTAGCTTGGAAAATGGTCCTATAACACCAAAATGCTCATTAATGGCCACCAAAGCTTCAAGAACACTTAAGGGAGGATTAGGGTTTTGTGGAAGCTGTCTTATGATGAGAGGGAGGTTGATATCCATGGCATTATATTCCTTATATAGTGGCATACCCTAAAAATTAGGGTTTAGTGAGTCTAAGCGTATGTTGGGCGTATGCCTCTCTGTACTCGCGTTCGTTTCCCTTTCTACATTGGGCGTAACCCAACTTACGCTGGGCATACCCAGATACTTCACACACATGCATTCCATGCATGCATAGGGCCACCTTGTTACAATTTCTTATTAGGGACTATTATTGACAACATTTTCAAAGTGGCGAGAAGCCCTACGCTTCTAGCAACACACCCCGGCCCGAAACTTTCTCAAATAACCTCAAAGCCCGTAAAAGACCAAAACGCCCTTATCCTTGGCCTCTAAAATCCATAACAAGAACTGGGCGTTACAAATTGACTTCTAAGTCTGTAATATAACACATATTTTCTACAAACCGAAGAATTCGTGATGAATTTAAGCATTCCTGAAGAATGCTTTAAGAATGAATTGTCTAAAACTCTTTTCATTTCCATTTTCTCTAATAGATAACCATTGGCAATAAAATCTATCATTTTGACCTTGGATGTCAAAATCACGAATAACATGTAACATAAAGTTTTAAATACATAACACATACATACAAATATCACATACACCAGCTCAAAAAACGTATTGATGCAACATATACCATTAGTAGTTGCTTCTATTGTTGCCCGAAATTATTCCAAGTGCCTCATCAAATTAGAAAACTTCTCCATGCAGCATGTGAAAAGGATGAAAATTAGAAAGGACCATGAAAAGCAATTTGAATAAGCTAGACCTCTTGCAGAAAAGGTCCTTCCATTATTGTTGGTCTTTTATTTTTGGATATGTTATGTTTTTGGTGTAGTTTGTGAAAGTATTGTTAAAGTTTGTACACCTGTTGCACAGATCGTGCATCGTGTTTATCCATTCCTTCCATCGTCTTCCTTTTTATCTCTCACCGTTTCTTCATCTCGATCCTTCCACCCTCTCCGAGGGTTTCTCTTTAGAAGTGATTGAGCACCGCCATGACCACCGTCCACTTCAGTTCGTGTCGGCGCCACCCATATTCACCTTCGATCAGAAACCCTGAGTCGTCTTCCATTGCTTTCTGCTTCAAACTGTTTTTTCCACACATTAGGGTTAGCTTTTGGTTTTAACAAACATCTCAGGTACCGCTACCCCTTTTTCTCTCTTTCAATTTCGATTCATTTTTCGTGCTTCATATACCTCTGCCTCCTTAACCTCCTGATTAGTTGTTTACAGATTTCATTGGTGTTTGATAAACCATTAAACTCTACACTTCGCATTTCTGATTTCATTCCAACAACAATCGGGTTGATTTTGATTCATCGATTCTTGTGTTTGAAGTTTGCGAAATGGACAGCGAGGGTGGTGTGGCTACGACTCCAGCGAGCTTAGACAGGAAATTCTCTCAAGTTTTTGGTCCACATGTAGCTGGAGACGAGGTTCAACAAGGTACAAACAATATTTAATCGATGTGTATTTCTTTATATTTGTGATTAAATTTCCCTTTGATTTTGTTTTGATTTTACTTCGTTCCTGGTTCTTCTATTTCTTACTATCGCAAGAAAAGAAAACATGGACATTTTGATTCTTAATCAAACCTGTACTTTTTAGATTGAAAATTGATTAATAATGTAACTCTTTGCATGCACGTAATGAAACTATACCTTCTGCTTGATCTTCTAAAGTTGAAGTCAAGGGAATTTGTTCTCTAATATGCTAAATTATGTATCAATTTATAGAATGCAATGATTAAACTGAAAGTACAGACTTTTTGTGTTCTGATAGCTTAAGCCAAAGCATAGAGGTGAAGGTTGATTGTTTCAGCAGCCGCCACCCTGAATTCCGTTATAAAACAGAATTCCAAAATCATGAGCCTGAGCTTTGTTGTCATGTTCTGTCAATTTTATCATACATCATGTATATTTACTCTCGCATTTATGCTATTTCAGTTTGACTATTTGAAAAGCTTGGAAATTGAAGTTAAATTCAACAAGATTAAATGGTGTCAGACAGCTAACACTTCCCTTTTTCTGCTATCCGCTAATGATAAAACCATAAAGTATTTGTGTTTCAGTTGTAAAGAAATCTTGATTTGGTGATTTTGGATTTGCGATAGGTTAGGTCTGTATTGCTTACCCCAAAACCGCTACACCGACCAAAATTCAACCAAGGCTTTTCCATTGTGATTTACGGTACATTCGTTGTCTATCTGTTATTTGTAGACTGCTTTGTAATTATATGCAAAAAGGTAGCTTGGAGAATCATCTTCTCAGAGGTATGCTTAATTTTCTTGGTCTCATAGGATTGGATGCGTTTCAGTGTTATGTTTTTGGCCCAGTTTTCGTGGGACAGGAGGATCCCCCTTTTGGTGCAACAGTGATAATGAAGCGGGCAAATGATTTCCTTTGTGATTCACATGTTTAGAGGCAGAGCACACTGTTCATTTGGTTGGTCGTTTTCCCATTCTAATTATAATTCATTATTTTATTAATTATGCCCATGTAATTAGGTAAAGTTATATCTAAGAATTTGGAGTCTAGAAATCAAGTTGTTTTCAATTTTTATGTCTCTACAAATTAAGTGAAGTTGTTGTACATTAATGGCTTGGTATCATATTGAATGTTTTTTTTCTCAAATTTTTGTACTTCAATGGAATTCTCACTCTTTTTGTCAAGATCTGGTTTTCATATGAGATAAATGGGTCATCTATGCAGTATGCATAAGTACTTCTTATTAGCTTAGTAATTTCTCTAAAAAGTTACAAGCTTTTAATTTGCCCCTTTCTGTAATGGATTCAACTTATTTTGTCAATGGAGCATGAAGTTATGGAAAGAGAGATTCGAAGACTGCGTGCGTACTAATTGTTATTGCACGACTTATAGAAGCAGAGCTTACCTGTTGCGACAGAGGTATGTGTCACAATTTATGTTAATTTCATTATTTCCTTTACTACATTGTGTTGGCTGTTTATTAGGTTTTAGTTTTATTTATTGACAGTGGTAGTAACTTCATTGGTATTTCGAATATAAATGGGATTTTATGAAATCTTGAAGTCAGTTATATCATAATTAATGGTATCTGTGTTTCTAAAATTCTTATCTATTCTTTTAAACACTTTACTACTATTTTTTTTCTTAATCTAGGGGCAATCGGGTAATAGGCAAACAATGGTTCTGAACACTGGGTTGTTATACCAAGTAAATGTCTATTTGTTACTGTAAATACATTCAACTTTCTGGGTATATTTTTTACTTTTTAATACATGAAATTATATATAAAATAAAAACTACTTTTAATATAAAATGCTATAAAATTAAAGCTAAAATGTTTATATAAATAGAAATATGTTGACAAAAATATTAAAATATTCCTTATCTCAAAATATAAAGAAATTTTTTTTGGTGAATATCAAGTTTTACAGTTTCATTCAATCCATGTTCTTCGATATATATATATATATATATATATATATATATATATATATATATATATATATATATATATATATATATATATATTCTATCATATTGACCTTACGCTTCATAATCAATGAACAATGAACAAGTCTCATTTGAAGTCGAAGATGTTTAAAATAACCATTTCTTGCTAGAAAGTTTGACTTGGTTAGGTCAATGAAGAGTGGAGAGCATATAAGGTTATGTTGACTTCACCCCATAAATTTGGATTTGCATCTATTTTTTAGTTTTTTTAGTCTCTTTATGCGACAATCTGACAGTTTTTTGGTGAGTTTAGTGAGATGACAATGGGACCATTCATGTACTAACGGAAGATACAATGAACTTATTGAAGATATAGTACAGCTTGGAAATTTTAAATTCACTTCAGGTTATAACCATTTTTTGTAGTGATTTTCTTATATTTTCTTTACCTATATATTTATGTTAAACGTTGGTTTTATGTGATTTTGGTTTTATATAATTCAGGCATTACCTGTAATCTGACCAGTTTTTTTTTTTTTTTTTTTTTTTTTTAGGTAGATACAAATGGTAAAAAGACCAGGTCTTATATTCTAATACTCTCTCCGATAGATTTCGTGTTCCTATTGATATAATGATGCTTTGGAGAATTTACGGCTTCTGTTGTTTTAATTTTTTTTTTATTTATAATTCATTATCTTACTTTCATTGATTTTTACATCTAATAGAGGAGTAAGGGATTCTCTTTGAAAATTTTAGAAATTTGTTTATTGTAACACAGAAATATGGTATGTTCTAACACCAACATTAGTTACTCATCCGATTGATGGCAAATTACACAGAATAACAATGTACTTTACTATGGATACCAATTCAGACAATGTACTTTATTATTTATCTCACAAAACTAACACCTTCCGTCACGCACAACGCGCGTGAAACCCCTCTAGTTAGTATTAATAATAAGCATAACAAGAGGAAAAGAAAAATCCGGTCACTTGTATTAAAAAAACAGCAACATGGTCTTCTATTATATTAAACAAATTGTTAGCCTTAAGATCATCCAACATAAAAATCTTTGCCTTGACCTCTAATGTGAAATGCAAGTTAGGACTTTTACAAATTAAAATTGAATTTATGGTCATATAATATGATATACAAATTGAAAATTTACATAATTCATAAAATCCACAGAAAAAATAACGTTAATGGTAAATGAAATAGCACATAATAAACACCAAGAAATCATTTGATGTTGTACCCCACACTAATTTAAAAACATAGTTGCATTAGTTGCAAGACAAAATTGACATATTAAAAAATAAATCAAAAATATCTCATAAAGACTAACATCAACAAGTAATAAAGTAATGGAATTTATATATTTTTTAATATTTTTTTGGATTTTTTTTTGAAAAAATTACAAATTTAACCAATTACACTAATTACTTTGTGGAAAATTACAAAAAAAAAAAAAAAAAAACCTAAATTGCATTTTAGCCACTAAAATCGCAGATGGGTATAATCCATCTACGATTTCGCCATGCCATCTGCGAATGTACAAGTGGCTAAAACATATACATGCTTTAGCCATTTGTACGTTCATAGTTGGTTTTTTTTTTTTCGCTATATACATATATATATATATATATATATATATATATATATATATATATATAAAATTTATTGAAAAAATTTATATATAATAAGGTTGTTTTGTAGTTAAACCTATCAACTTCATAGTCAAAATTAAAAAAAAAAAAAAAAAAATCACAAAATCGCTGTTCAAAGTGAGAGGAAATTTCAGATGGATTATGTCCATCTGCGATTTTAGGCTGAAAAAGGGGTGTGTATATATATATATATATATATATATATATATATATATATATATATATATATATATATATATATAATACATTATAAAGTAAATCTTACTATTTCTAAAAATAGATTCAATATAATAATAATATTTTTTTTAAGACGTTCAAGTCATTAAACTAATAGTAAAAGTAACCATTAATAAAATAATAATATTTTTAAGTTGTACAAATATATAAGCTTAAAGTACAACTAGTTCTTATTAAAATAATAATTAAAAGTTAAACTAACTATATTTTAAAATCTTATCCATGGAGATTTTAAAGGCACCCAATAAAAAGTCAAAACCACCCATTCAAATACAATTTCAAAACTATTTTCGAGGGATGAGCGTAGGCGGGTACCCGCCTCATTTGGCGAAAACCGAAACCGACGGTTCGTAGAAAGTTAGAACCGGAACCGCTCTAGGCAGTTCATAAATGTTTTGAACTAGTCCCGGAACCGGCGGTTCCGGTTCCGGGAGCGGGTAACCCGGTCGCATTACTTTTGTTAACTTTTTTTTGACAAAACCACAATTTAGTTCGATCTAAATCAAATCAATTCGGACCAAAGACGGACAAAATCGTACCAATATATTCTAAACCGGTCTAAGTAACACACCTTTATATGAAATTATATATATATATATATATATATATATATATATATATATATATATATATATATATATATATATATATATATATATATATATATAAACCGGTTCCGGCGGGTACCCAGCGGGTAGCGGTTCCGAAAAAACGAGAACCGGAACCGCTTAAGGCGGTTCCATAACTTTAGGAACCGGAACCGGAACCGCCTAAGGCGGTTTCCGTTCCAAAACCGGCAGTTCCGAGGCGGTTTCTGTTCCAAAAGCGGGTACCCGGTTCCGATGCTCATCCCTACTATTTTCCCGTTTATTTTAGAGTAAATTATAGAAATGACCCTTGATCTTTGGTCTGATTAAATTTTTGGTCCCTAAGTTAAAAAGTTAATAAGTTTTGATACCTAAGTTAAAAAACTTAATAGGTTGTATCCTTGTGGTTAATATATATAACAATTTTGGTCATTTGGGATAAAAAGACTAACTTAATCTTTTTTTTTTTTTTTTCATTCTCTTTTAATAATTTATTATTATTATTATTATTATTATTATTATTATTATTATTATTATTATTATTATTATTATTGCTTAAGATTAAAACCAAGAATATATTGGTTGTTTTATACTTTATTTTTATTTAGTTTCTTATTTAAAAGCGTCTTGTATAAAAATTATATTAACAAAAAAATAATATAAGTGATAATAACAATTATTTTTATTATTTGGATTGTGAAATGTCTCCGAAAAGAAAACTATTCACCGATGACACTTTTCCTGATATCATACTAGATGAAAATGTAGTTGTATATTATCTGTTTTTGGTATAACGAATCCAATGTAAGAAAATACATACCGAACAAACGCGAAAGTTTCAAAATTTTCCAAAAAAACAGTTACCACATTAGTCAATTGAATATAGAAATTTTGAAACTTTCGCGTTTTATTGAACATGTGTTCTAAATCAAAAAAAAAAATCACAAAATCGATGTTCAAAATAAGAGTAAATTGCAGATGGACTATATATATATATATATATATATATATATATATATATATATATATATATACCCCATTTTCAGCCTAAAATCGCAGATGGACTATATTTCCTCTCATTTTGAACAATGATTTTGTGATTTTTTTATTTTTTTTTTAATTTTGACTATGAAGTTGATAGGTTTGACTACAAAACAATCTTATTATATATAAAGTTTTTTCAATAAATTATAATTTTTGTTATTTTTTTGGAAAATTTGTTTAAAACATCTCTAACGAAATCGTTCATAATATCATCTATAATGGCTCTAAGGAGATCGCGAAGAGAGAGTTTGTCTAAGAAAGAGAGTGAAAAATGAAAAAAAAATCGTTTTATACTAGATCCCACGAAATCGCGAATGGACTTTACAAAATCACAGATGGACTTTTCCATCTGCCAACGTACAAGTGCTTTAGGCACTTATACGTTCGCAAATGGAAGGGAAAAATCGCAGTGGATTTAATCTATCTGTGATTTTAAAGGCTGTTTTTGTAATTTGATTTTTTTTTTTGGCTATTTTCAACAAAATAATTAATGTATTTGGTTAAATTTGTAATTCTCTCTCTTTTTTTTTTTTTGTAATCTATAATATTTGATTAGATTTCGATTAATCTAATAATAGAAGTGTGTTGAGATAATGGTGGGTTTACCTTCGTTAGATAATGAATTGGAATTAACAAGCATTACCATAACAACTCGATAACTTTTAAAGAAGGGTTAGATATCAAAGAGTTGGTGATTACGCTTGATTGGGCAGGTGATTAGTCCTCATTATGTCTGTGGCCTAGAATGGTGAAGATGTCGGAGTGTGTCAGTGATCGACAATGACAAAGATGTCGATGATTGCAATGTTGACGGAAGATGGTAGAGCGGCTGACAAGTGCGCTAGTGATTGAAGATGGTCGACCGACGCCTGATGATGAAATCTCTGGTGATAAAGAAGCGGACCAACCGCCATTTCAACTTTATGTATCGATGGAATGAGTTTCTGTTTTGAAAGGGGAGGTTGTGATTGAGGACATTTGCTGCTAGATATGAGGGTTCGACGACTTCAGTTGCCGGAGGGGAGTATAGATGGAGAAGGAAATATTGGGTGAAAAAAAGGGTTGGATCAGGTAGTACAATATATTAGGGAAATTATTGGAGAATTAATTAGTTTACCATAATTAAATATAATTGAAGTTACTTTTATACCATTTTCAAATGATTTGTTGAGATTTAACCATACATTCAGTTATGGTTTGTATAGAATAGTAGATATCGTTGTTATATATATATATATATATATATATATATATATATATATATATATATATATATATATATATATATATATAAACATTGTTTTATTAGAATAGTAGACAAATTTTATTTGATATAAAGTTATTATTAATTTCCCTTCATTTCATAGCGATTAAAATTTATTCTTAAATATTAGGTAGAACACACAAACAAATCAACTTATAATCATGTTTTTTAATAACTGGTTAATGTTAAAAATCTAAAAAATATAATTAAAAAGTAAACAAGTAAAAAAGTCATCAAAATATATTTTTTAATAAAAAGAAAAAAAAAATATTAGTAACCGAACGTTACCCATTTTGTCCTATACAAAATGTTTTTGTTCCACAGCCCAATTTGACATGTTATATATGAAGCCCACAATGCCACCCATCTTTTGCTTTTTATCATCGCATTTCTCAAATTTCTAAATTCTAACTATACTAAGACAATAATACAAAGTTCCAATTAATCTAGTGAACTTAACCATAATTTAAGAAATATCGAGATTCGAGAGCTAACAGATTTATATAAATAATAAAATAATTTAATCCGTGGTATTCAATCTTTAAGCCCCAAAGCGATAAAAAAAAAAATGTAACTTATATTTGCTAGTAATTAAATTCTTGATCATGATGATGTAATTAATGCCCACCACCACCACCACCACTAATTTTCCGTTAGTGATAGTAGATTAGGATTTTATATTTTCATGCAACTCCCTCACATACAAAATTACTCTTTCACCCCTCAGACCCTCACTATTAAGCTCAACTATAATAAGATGTATAAAAAGTGGTTGATTTAATCTGTAACACCTACAACTTATATATATTACAATTCTCAAGTTCGAATCCAGCATAAGTTATCTACATATGGTTAAATAAAAAGTGGCTGAATCAGTCTTTGAGTTTCTATTGTACACTTATGCGACGACTAGAGAAAAATGAGTTTTTATTTTTTATTTTTTATTTTTATGATACGGAAACTCATCTCCAAACTTTTAATATAGAACGGCGCATGATCTTCACAACAATAATTACATGATTAATTACTTTCACATTAACGTCAAGGAATAAGCATTTAACATCAAATTAACATTAACGAACCACTAATTACTTAATTACAAATGTACAATCACTTTAGGCTTCTCCACTTCCTATATATCCATTCAGAAACAAATAATATCAAAACCTCATAATCCTCCAAGTGTGTTCTAGCATCTCATGTATAAGTCAAATCTAGTCATGGGAAGTAAAAATCCTTTGGAAATAATAGAGTGGTCAAACCATGAAATCATTCCCAAAGAAGACGAAGTTTTCTCCTTTCAACACCAATTGCCTCCTCTTGATTTTAGGTACGTAATCAAGACTTAATTATTTTTTTTTTGTTTTTAATCATGTTTTCATCAACATTTCGTAATGGGATCAGAAATGAAGAACATAGGTTTCAATTCATGTTCAAATTGGATTGATATGTAGGTATCCAGAATCAGGATGTAGTAATTATGATCTTGATCCTACTTATTTGATGGATATCATTTCAAAGAATCCAATCTGTTCTTCCATGGAAATCCTACCAGGTGATTCAAGTTAATTTCTAGTTAATTTGATCATGCATGTAATCCAGACTAGGGTTTTCGTTCTTTCGTGATCTTATATGTTTTACATGTGTAGATCCTACGCTCTATGAAAATGGTTTCTTGGTTGGAAGAGATGATGTTTTAGGGTTTCCAGATCAAGAAATGTCCACCATGAACTCGTTAAGCTTTCCAAATCAAGAAATACCATTGATGAACTCATTAGGTTTTCCAAATCAAGAAATGCACATAACGAACACATTAGGGTTTTCTCATCAAACTCAAACTCAACCAGCGATCATGGCGCCCATGAACATTGACGATAAAGAGGAGACAAAGATGGTAAGATCTGGTTATGAGAAACCGCAGAAAAAGCTTGATCAGAAAGGTGATAATGGCAATGGCAATAATGGTGGTTGTGATTCTAATTATCCGTCCAGAATGGCGTTAAGCAGGGAGACGATTTCACAGTTCTTTTACATGCCGATAACACAAGCTGCAAAAGAACTTAATGTCGGATTAACGCTTTTGAAGAAACGGTGTAGGGAATTGGGCATTCGTCGTTGGCCTCATCGCAAACTTATGAGCCTTCAAACTCTAATCAATAATGTTCAGGTTTTTAAACTCCAGTTTATTCAAAGATCGGAAGATTATTATCTACAAATGTTTAATCCAATTAAAGGGTGTTAATTAGTAATCATCGATTCTTGTCACTAATCTTGTTCGCCAATTGGATTCTTGAAGCAGGAATTGGAGAAATCATCAGGGAATGGAGTCGAAGAGAAGCTACAAGAAGCAATCATGCGACTGGAGAACGAAAGAAAGAAAATGGAAGAAATCCCGGATTTACAACTTGAAGACAACACGAAAAGATTAAGACAAGCTTGCTTTAAAGCGAATTACAAGAAGAGGAAGACAATTGGGAATAATTCTTCGACATCAATTACTATTTACAGGCAGTCGCCATCTTCGTGTTCTAGCACTTGTGTTGATAATGGCGGTTATGAAGCCATAGAAGGTGGTTATGGTGGTGATTTTGCAGAACAAGAAGAGATGAAGTCGCTATTATATACTGGTTGTTTTCCTTCTTCTAGCAACGCCTTGTTATAAAAATGGTTATGTGTTTTTTGGAATGTAGGCCATAATCGACGTAATGTAAGTTTTTTCTCGTATAGTCGGGTCAGACGTTTAACCCAAACCCGACCCAGATTGCAGGCTGCAGTGCTTTTGACTTGTGTTTATATAAAGTTTTTTTGGTTTGGGTCAAATTTGAGATATATTCTTGAGTAAAGTGCAAATTTGGTCCATTATATAATTTAGAGTTTTGGTGCATATTTTAGACAAAATTATAATTTGTCAAAAGAGACATGGCGGCAACACTTCATGATAGTTTGTACCTGTTTGCAGTTGGATTCTTATTTTTTTTTTATTTATTTATTTTTATTTTTATTTTTTTTGTTATTTCTTGTGTTTTAAAATTTTCTTTTTTAAATTGATCTAAAATCACTATTACAACTTTGATTGAATATTTTTATTAATTATTTTTTAATATAGTTTTAGCAACAATTTTTATTAAATAAAATAAATACCCCATTTAACCCTAATCCTAAAACTCATTACCTTTTTCTACCACAATCCTCCTCTTGAAGAGGCATCCACCACCACCTATACCTTCAACTCCACCCTATCTCTAAATCACTATATTATAGAAAGATACATTGTGTATCTATAGTTGTAAGCACTAATCTTATTAAACACCACAATGGAAAGGTACCTCTAATTCACACAAAACCAACCCCTTAAATATATAATGTACCAAAGAATGGATAAGCGACGATACGATCATGGTGGGTTTCAACTCAAAACCAAGAATTTAGGGTCGTGTTTTTAGGGCGACAAAGCAGAGAGACAAAATGAAGAAGCATCGTTGGTTGTGGGAATAAGCTTTGTTTATGGATGGTGTGTTAGGCTTTGAAGGGTGTGCATCGGTGATGGACGTCGTCAGCTTGTTTGACTCTTCTAGATAAGGAGCCCAGTGATGGTCATAATTCAAGATAAAGAGAAAGAAAATGTATAATATACTATCAGGGCTAAGGAAGGAAAAATAGGAGAATGGTGGTTGTGGCGCATTCTGTGGAAGCATTGTATTGACCATGACGAGAGGGAGAAAGATGAAGAGGATGGTAGTCGCGGCTTGATCTGTGGCGGCGTCATATCGTGTGGTGTTCGTGTTATATAAAAAATTATTATTTTGTGTTGTGTCAGTTAAAAACACGACACCACTTTTCGATTATAAAAAAATTGATTGTTATCACATTTCGAGATTATCATATTTAGTGAGGGTTTGGCTGTAACAATTGTATTCTAAGATTTGAAAAGTTGAAACTAGAAATACAAGTTATTGTCACTGGTAAGATTATTTTGAACACAAAATAATAGTTTAATGGTCAATGGTATAACAAAAGATGAGATTAAATATGAACAAAAGAGATAATTGGTCAATTCAGGGTCGGTTCTGAGAATTCAAATGGTCAGGACGAGATGGATAAAAAAGATCATCCGCCTTTCTCCTTTCTATATCTATTTTTTTTTGTTTTTGTTTTTGTTTTTGTTTTTGTTTTTACTACCTGATAATTGTTTAAACTTTATCTCTACAAGTTTATAAACAATAAACATAATTTGATTTTTTAAACGGTTTCTGAATTTCAAATTTCTGATAAACAATTATACAATAAACATAATCTCATAATTTAATTTTGTTTTTAATAATCTATTTCACATTGGGAATCATTCAATCAAATTTCAATATGATAATATAACATAATAACAATACAAGATACTGATAAACAATTAAACATTTATGAATACCATTCAAGAATCTAAAAAATTAAACAGTTAAAAGATACACAATTAAACAATTACACAATTACACATACCATGAATCCGAAAAATTGATAATATATTTAATCTATAGCTCATTCAATCATTCAACTGATTCAAGTATGCAATTGAATTGGCAATTATAATTTACAAATCATAATCCCTAATTCCTTATTCCTCATTCCTTAATTTCTCATAATCTATTAGATTACGAAGAATCAAGAATGAAGAAGAATCATTGATAAAGTAAATAAGTGATCGACCCTCATCTAGAATAGTAAAATATGTTGTATCGGAGGATTGCTACTGTTGCAATCGATTTTTTTTTTTTTTAAGATGTTGTTGGCTTGCTGCAATCAATCGCTGCTTCGTGCACTTTTGTCTTTGGTTTGGCGTTGTGCTTCACTACCGCTGTTATAATGTTGTTGGATTGCTTGGGCTGAAACGGACATACCATATACTAGGCTTACACAAATAAACTGGTTCAGGACCCGAACCGGTCACTGAATCGGTAAACCGGTTCACCATAAAACCGGTCCACTGTGAACCGAACCGATTCAAGAACCGAACTGCCATATTGCACCCGTTCGAGATTTTAGACATTGAAACCGGTTTAATAACCATGAACCGGTAGTCAAACTGATCAAACCGGTTTAGAACCGATTGAACCAGTGTATCTGGTTTAGATAGATTCGAGTTTTCTATGACGGAACCGGTTTGAACCGAACCAGTTTAAGGTTGAACTGTTTCGGTATGAAAAAAAAAAACGGTTTGTTATATAGTATATAAAAAAATTGGGCCCCTTCAAATTTTGGGCTCTCTTCTCATGCACATATTGCACCGTCCTAAGCCCGGCATGTTGGTCATCAACTTAAATCATTTTTTCAATCTCATATGTCATATAGATTTCATCGTATATGCTAATTGGATGTTAACTACTACAAATGATGGTAATGATATAATTTAAACATAAAATAAGGGGTTTAATGTTAATGGTGTAAAAAAATAAACAAATGCAAATAGAAGTAACAAGTTGTTACTCTTTTATTCATTTTCCTTTTAAAAATAAGAGTTTAATCTTCCCTTTAAAAACAGTAGTAGCTGTTTATACGTATATAATTTACCGATTGTTTGCATGTACGAAGAACACTTTCTTGGTAAATCGATAACGTATTTTGAAACTTTCTTTTTTGGTGAAAAATGAACAAGATTCGTCAACGTCTGAACCGCGTCAAACAATGCGAAATATCCCATAATTGCATATCCATTTTCTTGTATTTTATCCAAAATATCCATATCCCCAAATCAATATGCTCACACCCTAGATTTTGAAACCAGACCAGAGTTACAATATCAAACTTACGATTTCATCTGTCCAACACCAATTCCACCTACTCGATCCTTCTTTTAAGGTATTCAACACTCGATTCTAGTTCAATTTCGTATTATTTCTGTGTTTTGAGCTCCCCTATTGTACTAGGGTTTTGGACTATCGTTCGTTATTGCTTTTATTCAGTTTCTATGATGTTTACGTATGTAAATTGTGTATTTTGTCGACTGATTTTCTGCAACATAGCCGGTTTTTCTGATTCGTGTACGCAGCAAACTAGTTTGGGGTTTCCCCAAAATTTCGTAACTAGAACTTGATTTAACGATATTGATGAAAGTGTGGTTTTGCAGATGGAAGACCATCTAATTTCGCGTGTTGATCAGCTCAGTGACGCTGCTAATCTGCCGACTGATACAACGGAATACGAGGCATCCGTTGAGAAAGAGCCATTGATTCCGTCAACTGAATGCCGCATCTGCCAGGAGGAAGATAGCATCAAAAACCTAGAAGTTCCTTGCGCTTGCAGCGGCAGCCTCAAGGCAAGTTTCTTCTTTATTTATGAAAGACAAATTTCTCGATATTATTCTAAAATCATCATCATATTTTACAGTTTGCGCATAGAAAATGTGTTCAGCGATGGTGCAATGAAAAACGAGATATAATCTGTGAAATCTGTCATCAGCCTTACAAATCTGGTTATTCTGCTCCTACACCTCAATCACAAGACACCGTTATTGATATCAGGCATGTTATATCTTATCCCATCCTTGATTCTTAGTTTGTTATCATTAATCGAAAGAAGCTCTATATCGATTTGATTCTTTTACAGCGGAAGTTGGGCTATTGCTGGGACACCTGTAGACATGAATGATCCTCGAGCTTTGCCTATGGCAGCTGAGAATAATTATGATGAATACGAAGACAACAGTACCAGTGCAGCTTCTTTTTGTCGCTCAGCTGCTATCATAGTAAGCGATTACAATCTCTTTAATCAAAAAATTCAAATATATTATTAGATTTTTATTATGGAAATTTTGTCACAGTTGATGGGTCTTTTGCTGTTGAGGCATGCTCTCACAATCGGATATGGTGGTAGTGATAATGATGATGATGATGTTGATGATCCTTCTGCCTTTTTTGCTGTAAGTCGAATTTATTAAAACTTTTTTATATGCTGATAAATTCACATCTTGATGATTCTTATATGATTTCGGGCAGCTGTTCGTGCTTCGGGCAGCTGGGTTTCTTCTTCCTTGTTACATAATGATTTGGGCAATCAGTATATTGCAGCACCGTAGGCAATCCCAGGTAAAAAAAAAAAACTTTTTAAAAAAAAAATAAATAAATAAAATTATGTCCCACAATATAAATTAAAAGCTTCAAGATTTGTTATCGAAAACAAATATAAATTATTATTTTCGATAAGCAGGAAAGGGAAGCACTGGCGGCAGCTGACGTGGCATTCATGATTCATTCAGGGCAACATAGAGGGTTGCAAGTCACCATTGCACCAGGACCTGCCATGTCACCGACACCTGTCATACCAGTGCCAAATTACCCATAGTAGGCCCCACCCACTAGCCACTTCAATAGTATATATATCTATGGAGAAACATGACTTGTGAAGTGTTGTTGATGTTATTTGTATGAAAAAATGAAATTTGAAATATATATATATATATATATATATATATATATATATATATATATATATATATATATATATATATATTCTGGTTGTGGTGACGTGTGACCATTTATTTAATATTGTGTTTGATTAAATGAGAATCACAAAATAAAAATAAAAAATAAATGGGGGACCCATAAGAGAAATATATATATATATATATATATATATATATATATATATATATATATATATATATATATATATATATATGAATTTGCAAAAAAACAAATGGTTATAGGGAAAGAAAGAAAAGCATAAAGCAAGATATTAAGTCACAAGAAACAAAGACTGGTTTGTGAATGCATGGATATAAGAGCTTGGAATTCAAAAGTTGAGTTTAAGAGAGCATAAAGCAAACTCTTGTTTTTTTGAAGATGTTTCTATTCCCTCATCTTTTCCTTTATCTAGCTTTCTTGCATCTGTAGCAATCTCCAATAGCTTTTGCAGCCAAGATACATTTTCACAATTAAAAAAAAAAAAAAAAAAAAAAAAATCAAAACAAACCATTTAAATTGTTAACAACAAACAAAAGAAAAACTTATTAGTCCACATCAACCAATTCCGAAGCTAACACATCACTTATGGATTCTTACTTGCTAACGAGGTTAGTTGAAATTGGATTCTATAATGGAGAACACATAACTTGTCTACTTAACCCTTCATTTACTTTACAAAGAAGTGAAGATGACGTAAAAATAGGGAACAAATTCTATAAAGATTCCAAGATTGATGTCCCAAGTTGCTTTTTCATTCAAACCTGTCAGAAACTCATAAAGAACATCCCCTTGATATGCATATGATTGAAATGAATCTACTTCTTTGCTTTTTCCATCTTTATTTGCATCCAAATCTCATAAAAGATCAAACCCTACCTTATATGTAACAGTCATATTCCACTCCATAACAATCACAACACCACCATCTCTCTCTCTCTCTCTCTCTCTCTCTCTATTCAGCCATGGGGATTACCATTACCACTTACAAGGTGATGATAATCCTTGTTTGCATCATGTTTCTATCTACACAATCAGAAAGCATCACTCCACTTAAAAGCATCGACCTTGCTCTAAAATGGGGAGAAGAAAGATTATTTTCAAGAAATTCGCGTGTTCTCAAAGTTGAAGAACAAATGGATAATACAAAATTGAATATAGCACCAACACCCGCGATGATGTTTGATCCAAATCAATCAAACAAAAGAAGAATTCGAAGAGGTTCAGACCCTATTCATAACACAAGATGAAAAGAAAAAGTTTGATCAAAGTTCACAAAGTTGTTCTATAGGTCTGTTTGATTTCCATAGTTTTGTTTAAGCTCCTTTCTCCCTCTCTTGTTCATTCTAAAACCAAAGCTAAATACAAGTGTGTAGTAGACTCTATTTAATTTACGTAGTTTTTTTTTTGTATGATCGATAGTTTTTAGTTTCGAATTAAAACAAAAACTTATACTCGCAATAGAAGCAAACATTATAAAGCACATATATCACGATTACACTATTAATGTGATTTCAAAAACTCTTGTGACATTCGGTATCTATTTTTTCTATAAGTTTGATTATTTACAAAAGACACTTTTCGAGAAACCGATTGCCAAATCATATCAACAGCATCACCATGTCTCGAAGGATACTGATATTCAAAATGTGGTGCAATTTGCTTCAATCTTTCCCACATTTGTCTCCATTTTTGTTTCTTGACACCCTTAAGAAGGTTCAAAAGGTAACCTTTTTTACATGCATCCGAAGAATGAACAAAAATGGAGAATTTTGAGTAGTCAAGAACATCTTCATATGGTAATTCAATTTCATCACTGATTATAACAGGGACACAATGAGTAGCAATTGCATCAAATAAACGATTTGATGAAGGTGTGTCCCCAGCAATATTCAGACAAAATTTAGAAGTTGCCATTCCTACAGATGATGTACGTATCCCACCTTGTTGTGCACTTCCAAAAGAAAAATAAACGTCTTTTTCATCTTTCATTATGTAGTATAGTTCTTGACGAATCACTCCACCCTATATTAATAATCACATTAAAAAAAAAGATTGGAAAAAACTTGAGATATAATAACAGATAAAGGGACAAAAAGCGTACATCTTTTCTATAAATTGCTCCACGAAAATAAACCAAAGTGGTTCGCTCTTCAAAGTCAAGTGAATTGCTAGCATTGATGCTTTTAACAACATGTTTATAAGGAGCAATTAAATCTTTATCAATATTAGCAAAATGAACAGGGTATCTTCCAAAATCAGAAAGCATCACCATTGAAGAACGCAAGTGTTTTCTTGCTAAAAGCATACTATTAGGATGATGAGCTATAATAAGATGATCTTTCCCTCCAAATCGTTTCCATTCGTTTCTACCTTTTAAAAATTTAACCAATTTCTCTTGCAAAATCATGTTCATGTCTTTTTTCCCCTTTACGTAAACCCTTGCATGTCGATTGTAACTCAAAGATGAAAAAAATGGGACGAAAATTATATCAGCTAGGGATGAATTTTGTACAAGAATTGCAGTGCAAGGTCTATTATGTATGTTTGGAGTTGTTGTTGATGATAAAAGATCAAGTGTTAGCCAATATTCTACACTATGTTGCAAGTTTAATCCACCTGGGTATGATGGGATTTCGCTAAAATTACTCACATTAGGCCAAATTTGGTTTGATTTTCCTTTCCAACCTAGTAGTCCGAAGTGGAATTCGGGAGGTAAATCATACATAAAAACTTTTAGTAGTGCTTGATTTGGGTTACATGAATCTGGTGAAGGTGGAAAAGGGATTGATTTAAGTTGAATTGGGTCGGTGTTTTCAGTGTTGTCGAGAAGAATTAGGTTGTAAGATGGTGTATTGATCCAAGATGTGTTGCTGAATCTAAAGAGGAGGAATAATGAGAGGATCAGGAAGAAAAGTGTGATGAAGAATAGGGATTTGAGGAACCTGGATTTGAACACATCCTTTTCAGGCATTGCAGCAGCCGATTGCTTAAGATCAAACGCCCATTAACTAAATCGAATGATGGAACCCTAAAAAGGTTTAGCTGTTTCTCATGATATTTAATGAGCATTGAACAAAATTTTGAAGCTCAAATTCTCGATTCAAATATCGACAAGTAGAAATCGTTAAAAATTCTCCGTCGTTGATTGTGTCGCCGTTCAAGAACACAAACAACCTGAAAAATCAAAGGAACCCTAATTTTAAAATAGCTTCGCATTTCGTATAAACAATCTCAATAAAACAAAATTGTTTCATGCAATAGAGATAGCCAGAGATTCGACTGTTAAAATCCATGTTTGAAGATAGGGTATTATTTAGAATCAATATCGACAAAGAGAAAATGAATGTGTAAGTAAAAGTATTACCTGAAAGTGGAATCGATCGGCCTGAAATATGGATAAGATCGATTCAATTGGGTGAAATGAAAGAGCGTGAAATTTCGTGGGTTTTTCCTTCTTTATCTAACGCGAACTAGTGAAATTCTGAAGGGTGTTCATCTCTGTTACTGGAAGTGCGAGCTACGTTTTCAAAACGGGATGACTGTATTCTGTACGGAGGAAGAAGACGCTCATGGAATGTGATTTCAATGTGCGATGGATGCATAAAAAACGATGATAAAACGTTAAACATGTCAAATGTACAAGCTTAACTAAAAAAACGATAAATAAATAAATAATTACTTTTTTAAGAGTAATTAACCAAAATTTAATGGAATTTTATTAGGAAAACTAAATTGACACGTATAAATAAGGGAAATTAAGAATCTAATCTTTATAAATGATTTTTTTTTTTTTTTTTTGACAAAAATGACCATTTTTTTTAAATAACCACATTCTTCGGAATACCTTTGTTCCGAAGAGATCTTCGGAATTTCGAAGTACGGTTCCGGAGTATAGTTTTTTTTTTAGTTACATGTAACATTTGATTTTTTTTAGCGTAAGTTTTGAGTTTATATAATATATAAGTTTTGCTTTTATAAGACGTATACTTTTTTGTTTTATCAAATATAAAATGCAATTAAAATCAACAAATAACTAATAAGTACATATCCTAAATAAAAGATGTGTCTGTAGGTGGTATTACAAATATGATGTTTAAATTACCTTTGTTATTGTATCCCAAACAATTTCCGCTGGTCGTTTTTGATAACCCAAAGCCCATGGAACGGTTTTACCCTCTACAAAAATCGATTTCTCGGTAATCAACGCCTCCAGGAACCAACACAAAAACATCTCACAATCCTTTCTGTTGTAAATCTATTGTGGTACGTTTGGGGCATTTTCTAGTTGGTTCGGTACCCTAGTAGTTGACTCCCACTACCAGTTTGTGGGATTGAATCAGTTGGTTCAGTACCCTAGTCGTTGACTCCCACTACCAGTTTGTGGATGCGAGCTCTCAGACCTATAAACCAATCCTCATTTTTCGAACAGTAACTGCCCTTCTAATGACTATCGTATATAGTCATTTTGAATGTCTTCAAATCCAAAGAACCCAAAAAGCAATGAGCTTGTCGTATGTTGATTGGGATGTAAAGCTACAAAAATGTTAGAAATAAGTAATTAGTATATAAATACTCAGATAATGTAATCTAAAGAAAATTATATTGTATCACACTCTGCCCAAGCTGGGTAAATGGATCCGTCAGCCATGTCACTCTAGTCATATGCATCAGTGTTGAAAGCTGATGGCACCACCGTCCACCGAGCATCATCCGCTCTACGCTCTAGCAACAGTAAGATCCACATCATGATGTGTTGCCAGTTAATTTTGTTTTTGTTGTATAGTAAATATTATTATTAGAAGTATAGTATGTAATAATCAAATAGTTATACTACTTACATCACATGACAACCATCATCCATGACTATCCACATATAACCGTGTCTAAAACTCAAGTGCAACAAAAATGGTCAAATAATTATGAGCACACAACAGAGAACCATCTCGTTCTTTATACACAATATGTACGGTAGGATCTACAAGATTGTCAAACGGTGCTGGTTGTTGTCGTGTAACACCTTTCCTCTTCATTTGTACCCATGACGACTTATACCATATGGACATAACGTTTTGGTGTTTAGATCGCCTAAGAGGTGCTTGCGCTAGTGTTTTGTAATCATCCCTCAGAATCTCTGTTACATTCGACGGGTGAGTAACGGGAGACTGCTGCTCAGGGATGACATTCAACGGCTGTTTAGGGCCGACATTCAGTGGTTGTTCAGGGTCGAAATTCAGTGGCTTTTCGAGGCTACTTAAGACATAATCATGCTCCCATAACTCATTTTCATTGTAGTATCCCTATACTGTTCAATAATATATACTTATAACGGATGCAAAAACATAACGACTATAAACGATGAAATAATTAAAAATATACCTCCATCCTGTTCGAGGTACCAACATCATATACGAGAGTCTTATTGATACGTTTTAGAACCATGTATAAAGTAGCCTCATGCTCTACTAAACTCTCCTCCTAAGACCGCAACTACTCACGACATTGACAAATCTCATTTTTCAATTGACCGATCTCGTTCTGCAAGTCACTAATAATTTGGTCCTTGTCAATTGATGGGTCAGTGGGCGGTAGTGGTGGGTGAGATGGATCATTTATCCATGTCTTCTTTTCTCGATGCTCATGGGTAGGGGAGTTTTTGGGTGATGGTGTTAGGGAAGGTGCCCTATGAACTTTAAGGTCGGGAAAATATGTAACACCCGGTTCCTGGTACGTATTTAAATTTAAATAATCATATGTTTTTACACTGGACTCGGCGAGTTGGAGGCCCAACTCGTCGAGTAGACTAGACTTTGGATGCGGGTTTTAAGTAACCTACTCGACGAGTCGGAGAGCCCGACTCAGCGAGTAGGACTGTCTTGAAGAAACCCTAATATTTAGGGTTTGCACCCTATTTAAACACCTTATCTTGTCCCAACCCAGCCTCCATCGTCCCTCCCAGTCCAGAAAAGCCCTAACTCGAAACCTTAAAGCATTTGAAGTGTTCTTGAGTCATTTTTGTGTTTTTTTGGTTGTTTTAAGCTTGGAGAAGGAAGTAGAAGCTTGGGGGTTCTAGAAGAAGCAACTAGATCCAGAGGTTTTACTTCATTTCCAGTTCATTCAAGGTAAAAAGCTTCAACCTTGACCATCTATCTCTTGGGTATCTAGTTAGGGTTCATTTCTACCTTTTCTAAGCCTTAGAAGTGCCATATTCAGGATTTTGTGGTTACAAAGGGGTATGACTTCAGATCTAGAACCATTGAGGGTTCCTATGGCATAAATGTGCCAACTTTATTGCCATAAGAGCCCCGTGCATATTGTAGACTCCATTTTAGATCCATTTGAGCCAAATACCCTATGCATGAACGTCAAGTTTGTAAATTTTTGTATATTATGGACCCTAGGAGGCTAGATCTATGTTTTGGATGTGTTAAACCCGACGGAAATCAACTGTATGGACATAGAATTTAGGGGACTCGGTGAGTCGTTCATGGGACTCGACGATTCAGGGTATGGTTCAACAACCCTTTTATGATTTGATCGATTTAGTTAAATCTAGAAGTGGAATCAACAAGATAAGATGTGAAACTGGACCTGGAAATCATATAACTCGGTGAGTTCAAGAACAGAACTTGGCAAGTCCAGGGAAATATCCCAACCATATGAAGATGGACTCGACGAGTCATGGACGAAACAACTTAACTTGGATGAAGATGAACTCAGCGAGTTAGTTGTAGAAGGTCTCGACTTGGTTTAAAGGAGAACTCAGCGAGCTCTTGTGTGACAACTCGAAATTTCTAGCTTGTACAAACATTCAAATCTATCAAAGTTAGACTCATTTTGCTATATTTTAGCACGATTTATGGTCTATTTGAGTGTTCTAAGCCTAGTATAATCTAGGTATGGGTCTTGGGATGAGTATTTGTGAGTGTAACACCTTGAAAATGAGCCAAACACACCAACACAAGGTGTGTACGACCGCACACCCATCCCAGCCGCACACTCAATACAACCTCACACTCCCACGTATATATATGATCCTTGGTCATTTTGAGAACTTTTCCACTTCTTCAAGTCTAGAATTCGTTTTCTCTCAAGTATCAACCATCTTTTCTATTCAAATCTTCAAATCAAGTAAGTGTCGCTTCCTTGAATCGTTAATACAAGGCTTTAACTAGCCTTTCCCCTTGATTTGATCCATGAAAACACCTATTTGGTGTTAGATCTTCAAAAATACCAAGAACAACAAGAACACACACTACTTTTTGGACTTTAACTACACTTTTAAGCCTCTAAATCGGGTATACACTTGGAATAGCTTGATATAAGCTAAGAACCCTTGAATTTATGCATGAAAAACGCCATTTCATATGATCATCAAGTGTGTATGGCCGCACACACTCTTTTTAGGCTCAAACATGGTTTTAAACTCCCATTTTAGCTAAGCAATGGTCAAACGCCTTCCCTAGAACATTCCTAAGGCTTGGACACATTTTTGGCACACTTCATAGTGAGTGTGCAGCTGCACACACACAAAACCCATGATTTTGTGGCCTTACACTCCAATATAGGGCCATACACCCCTTATGTGCAACCATATGTGTTAGTAACACTTAATTCTAAGTGTTTTATGTCCCTAAGGTGTGTCCCTATCACCATTAGTGGTTATATACATTAAATGTATTCATATATGTGTAATTATATGTTAAACAGGATTCATTGGTGCTCAAGACTCCAATTGACACCCAACAATCCTATATCGATCTTTCATTTGAGTTACTCACTACATGTGAGTTCACACCCCTTAATCTACCTTTTAAATGATTTTAAATGCTTTTAGGGGGAGGGGGATACAATTTGAAACATTTTAGTTATTATATCAATCACATGTGATTAATAACTCGAACAAACTGATAGATTTCTATTACTTTCAAACTGTTATCAAACATATGGATTTCAAAATACTTCAAAATATTT